GGGCCAGCAAGGATAGAATATGAACTTAGTGCTCCCAATTCTGCAAAGCTGACATTTCAGTGCTTTCCCAGCAGCTCCTGACTGCAGTCATAGACAGAGAAGACAACCAGAGCCCCTCATTCACCTGTCATGACTCTGCCCCAGCCCACACTGCCTGCCTTGACCCTGCCCGGCTGTTGCACACTGCAGCCATCTTACATGGTACGGAAAACACGATGCTTTATCAGTATCGCCTCATCCAGGCTTTAAGAGGTGGTTAGGAGGTGAACACCAGCATCCACACTTCACAGTCAAACACACAAGGTACAGAGAGTGCAGCCAACCCACTGAAGACCATAGGAGGTGGCAGAGCCAGCAGCTGACAGGAAGAAGCAGAAGACACAGGGGCTCAGAGGACAGTGAGGGCAGAGAGGCCCACAGCATAAAGCAGTCTCGAAGAGGCAGAGGCACTGGGAGGGCTCAGAGACACAGTGAGGTGCAAATGAAACCAAGATCCCCACAGGCTAAGGTGAAGAAAAGGGAGACTTCGGAACAGACAAGCATCTGGGTGAAAAAGCCTGGCTCCATTCTCTTGCCCTGAGAAACCTGGCAGCCTTGGGCCATGTGGAGGGAAGCGGGGTCACCAGCTGAAGGGGGGCCTGCTAAACTCTCATGCTCCACCCTACCCAGAGGGTGTCCATAGGCTTTCTCTGAGATGCCCGCCTGGGCACAGGCTCTGCCCAGGACGGGTTGTCAGGGTCTACTCAGGCACTGCCAAGGTCTCACACTGCAAGAGCTGGCAGTGACGCTTTGCCTTGGACTCCCAACGTCCTGCTCAGACTTTGCAGAAGCCCCACGCCCAGGAAGCAAGGCCATCTGCAATTTCCAGAGCCCCGATTTCATGTCTGGAAGGATGAGTGGGCTTTGCAGGGAGGGGGTAGGTGTATCAGGAGTGAAGAGAGGAATGGACAGTGCATTGGGTTCTGGCTTTCTGAGATCCCTTTCTGGTTCTGGCTTCTGGTTCTGGTTCTGGTTCTGGCTTCTGAGATCCCTTTCTGGTTCTTTTTCTCAAGCCTTCATTAGTGCCATGCTTCCCCTTCAGCTTTTTTTTTTTTTTTTAAATGCAGTATGGGGATCAAACCCTGGGAGTGCCAGTCCTTTTTTTTTTTTTTTATTTTAAAACCAAAATATCCAGCTGCCCTTGAATTTGTAATCTTTCTGTCTTAGCCTCCAGAGGAGCTGGGTTTGCAGGTGTGCCCGCCATACCTGGTTTGCCCTCAGCTTTTGACTTAGCTGTCCCCTCCTCATCCTTCCCTTTATAGAGGCCACTTCTGATCTCCGAAACCAGGTAAGACTCTCACCCACCCTCATGGCTTCCAAGCCCTCTGAACACAGCTGCGAATTTCAGCTTTTGGGAGGACAAGCTGATGAATACCTGTTTCTCCCACCACAACCAAGGGTCCAGGAGGTCCAGCAGAATGAGGGAAGGGCGGTGCTACTAGAGACTGAATCAAGGGCCTTTTCACTGAGCTACAACCCAAGCCTTTTCTGTTTTTTATTTTGAGACAAGTTCTCGCTAAGTCTCTAAATTGCCTAGGCTGAGCTAGAATTTGCAATCCTCCTGTCTTAGCTTCCCGGAGTGCCACGGTTGAACACTGAGTCATGAGCCCACCTCTTACTGTGCATGTCCACAGAACTTGATGAATGCATGAAGTCTTCTCACTTCTTCATAAGAGCTCCTCCATTTTCAGAGTCTAAAAGGCCCAGATTTCACATCTGATCGCATTAAAGCCTCAGCCCAGCCCTGGATGTATGGTTGTTATTCCCACTTTATAGATGGGGAAATGAACTTCAGAAGGCAAAGTGGCTCTGTAGCCCACATTCACAGCATGTAAGTGACTTCCAATTCATGGCTGGCTTCAGAACCCACCTCTGACAACTATACTACCCTCCTCTGTTGCCCCACAGACCCTCAGGATCTTCCCTTGCAAACTTTCCCCCACCCCTTCCTAAGCTTCCTTAGCTCTGGACTCATCCATTCATTCATTCATTTATCAATCCACCAACTCATTTATTTGAGTACTAGGGAGTCACAGACCAGAACTCAAGGAGCCCTTATGGGCAACAAGAGTTTTCTCTCCATCCTTTGCTGCCCACTCCCCATTGCTCTGGGGACTTTTCCAGCAGTAGTTAGGGCCAAATGGTTGCCCTGTTGGGAGCTGGCTTCCGAGCCTCACCCCCTCCACTCCCCAGGACACCAGCCTAAAATGTACCACCTGAATAACAGAAGTATCACAGTCTTCGGGTCTCCATCAAGCTCTGAGAAGCCTAGGACAAGAGACAGGGCAGGATTCTGCCATCCTTCTTCATGTAGTGATTCCCCTGAGCCTCACCCTAGGCAGCTCTGGGAAAAAGTTCTGAACCTGGAATCATAAGACCAGGGTTCTAGCTTTGGCTCTGGTGCTGGTCCCTCTTGCCTCTTTCTGAGCCATAGATTCCTTGTTCTAGCTGTAAAATGGAAGGAATCATGATGATGATGACCCTAAAGGTTGCTGTACAGGTTGTGGCTGAGGATTACATCCTGCAGATCCAGGTAGTTCTCCTGCAGACAGTTGGTCAGGGAAATGTCTAAGCAACTGGGGACCTATGTAGCCAGCTACACTTGCATTTATTTGACACTGTGATTTTCAGAAGGTCGGGAATGCACCTAGCAAGCTGAGCCCAGAGCCTCTCCAGAGAGGACGCTGAAAAATGAGAGGCTCTCACTTTGCTCGGTGCTAATGGGGAAGCTGTGCTCATCAACCAGCACGGGGGGGCCTGGGGAGAAGGCTGAAAATGGGCACACACTGGTGGTCAGTTTCTCCCAGATTGGCGTTCCCAGAGCTCCCCTGGAGACAGTTCAGGCCAGGAACCTGAAACTCTCTGAATCAGGAGGATTCTTGGGTCCACTTTAGGACAAGTGCCTCCTCATACTCCCTGCTTTCATCGGCCCTGGGCTCTGCAGAATTTGGAAAATTCCTCTTCCTTACTGCATAAACAGCTTCTGCTTATGGGGTCCTGGCACCACAGACCAGCTGGTCTGCATATGTTCTCTCACCGGCACCTCAGGATTACCTTTCTGAAGAGGGTTCTGTTGACCACTCCATTCTACAGATGAAAGTAACTGAGGTTCATTGAGGTTGTGATTTGCCCAATCACAGAGCCAGTTCATGACAGAGCAGAGATGAATATTCAGGCTGGCTCAACTCTAAGCCTACAGAGTGGGGAAACATTGATGAATACACAAGGCAAAGATCAATCCTTCTGCTTTGGGAAATTTCTCCACTGTAGCAGCAATGAGTCACCGAAGGCCCAGGAAAATCTTGTATCCTGTGCTCCTTTTTTTTCCCCTCTCTTTTGATGCTGGGGATGGATCTCAGAGCCTTGCACAAAATAGACAAGTGCTGTGTCACTAAACTACACCTCAGTCCCCTCTACTCTTTCTGGGGAAGCAAACAGGACATTGATACCAAAGCCTCCTGAGACCTACACACTCCATTCCACCACCCAACACGCCAGATTCTGCCTCCATTAACCCCACACTGTGGAACTCACACTTTCTAATCAAGATTGGTTCTCTATTCTTCAACAGAGAAACTGAGGCAGAAAGGAGGTGGAACATAGGGCACCTCAGTGACCGGGATGTGACCAAAGCTCACAGCTCACATCTCCGATCTCTGAGTCCATAAGCTGCCCTCTACCCTATCTGATGGTACCACAGCCAGGAGAACTTTGGGACTCTGTCCTTGGTCAACCAGCATGCAAGACCTATTTTCAACAAGCAGCAGATACCCAGGCCTCCTTCTTGCTGAAGGTTGTCAGTTTCCTCTCAAGCCTTTCAGCCCACATCTGAGGCGGTGGGTATGTGTGAAGGAGGGACAAGGAGGACAAGTCGAGCACTGTCCACAGACACCAAGAAGAGAACCTCACTACAAAGACTGAAAGCACATGCCCACTCCTCCCAAACCGACCACTGCTATCTAGCAGTGGGTAAAAAAAAAAAAAAGGTTTGGGGCTGGGGTTTTAGCTTAGTGGCATAAGCGCCTGCCTTGCAAGCAGGCAGTCGTGAGTTTGATCCCTGGTACCGATAAAAATGAAAAAGACAAAAAAAAAAAAAAAAAAAGGGTTTACAAGGTGAGAGAAAGCTGGAGGGAGGGGGCATTTGTGAGGAGGACCTGAGCCTCCTGCGAATCGTATCCTCGTATCCAGTTCCTGACCAGATTGGCCACTAGGGAAAGGAGCAGAGGACTGACTCACTGACCCAGACCTATTGCCCACTGTATCCAGAAACCCAGGGCTCTCAGCAACCATTACCTAGAGACATGTGCCCAAAGCCACTCTGGAAGTCGCTTTCTACTGCGGTCTCAGAGATCTGACCAAAAGAAAAAAAAAAAAAAAAAACAGCAGTCATATTTTCACATTCTCATACAGAGAAAATTACAAAATGACAGTAGGGAAGAAGCATATGCCAACAGAGATCCCAAGCATATGCCAACAGATGATTACCATATGTGACTTGCTAAGTGCCCTAAGGCTTGCTGCAGACAAACAACTCTATACTGTTCGGGATGCCTCCTCAGTGCCCCCCTCAGCTGTCTCCTTCAAATCCCCAAGACACTGGAGAGCTTTCCTCTTCTGTCGGTGTGAGCACCACACACATGTACTGTCACAAACAACTCCCAGTGACAGACACAGAACTGTTGCCAAAGTGTCCCACGACCCGGATGAAGACACAAGGGGATGCCAATGCCAACAGATGATTAAATGTTACTCAGGCTAGCTCAAGCATCAATATACATACACCCAGCCCAGGCGCACATTCCTGTGTCCCCCTCTCAAAGGAAGTGGCCTTCAGGCTAGATCCTTGGCAACCTACCAGTAGTGCAGGGGCCCAGAGAGGTCGGGGGTCCAGGTGCCAAATCCATGCTCCCCACCCTCACCTTGGGGTCCAGACCCGCGGTGTCAGCCCGCAGCGGACTCACCGGACGATGCCAAACATGACAAGCACGTTGCCCAGCAGCCCCACGGCGCACACTGCGGAGTAGAGAGCGGTGATGGCGATGGCCAGAGCGAGGGACGACGCGCTCCGCGTCCCCGGCGGCCCCGACGCATTGGCGCCCGCGCTGGGGAAGGTGCTGGGGTAGGCGTCCGAGGCGTTGGGGAGGAACGAGGGCTGCAGCTCGGCGCCCGCAGAAGGGGCCGGCTCCATGGCGGCCCGCGGCGATGTGTCCCTCTCCACCGTGCGCCCTGGGCGCAGGGACCCGGCGCGAGAGGCGCTCGAAGGGCCGAGGCCGCGGCCCCGACGCCACCGGCCTCAAAGGTCCGGCCGCCGAGCTCTCTCCACGCGTCCTCCCCGTGCCTTGTCGCCTGCACCGGCCTTGCCCACAGCGTCCTCCCGCTCTCCAAGCCGGAGCAGTGTAAGCCTGGAGCCGCTGCGGTCTCCTCGGACGCGCCCGCTGCGCGCACCACGTGGTCCGGAGGCGGCCGCCAGTCTGCGCCCGCGACCGGGGGCGCGCGCTGCACCACCGGCTTGGAGCGGGGCCAGGAAGGCTCCGGCTCCCTCTCTCGTTCCACTCCGCAGGCTCAGGCTTGAAAGCGCCCCCATCCCAACCTGGACTCACCTCCCCGCCCCCTCCCCCCTTTGGAGTCAGGGGAACCTGGATGCGAATTCCACCTCCCGCCTCCTAGTGAGAGATAACCTTGAGCGAGGCACTTAGCCTCGCTCAAATGCAGTCTCCGTTTTCCTACAAGGAAAACCTCCCCACCTCTCTCCGAGGGCTACTGGGGAGAGTAACAACGCGAGTCAAGAACTCAGCTACCTTCTCTATCCTTTTCTGCACTGACGTGGTGTGTGCGCCCTGTTCTTCACCAGGTTTTCTCACAGGACTTTCAGAATCAAGTGATGCCAAGACCCCAAAGCAAAATTGTCCCATTTCCCCCAACGGATTCGGATGAACTCTTACGAAGTCAGGATCTACTCCAAGACGAGAGCCAGGAAGAGAACTAAACTGGGTAATAAGGAATCGCGCAGGTGCTGGACCAAGGTTACTTCCAGTTCACTGTATCAGGCTCAGAAAAAGGCCACCGCTGTCTGCACAGCTGGACTTGTTTTATTGGGAATCAGTCTTTCCCTTTTGTTTCTAAGCTCCGGATCATTAGGTTGGTTCAATAATAAATATATAAACCGCCCCCCCCAAAAAAACCTTAGTACTGTATACATAGTAAGTGCTCTATAAAGATCCCTCGAGAGTTATGCTTTTTTGTACCCCATTCATTCACTGCACAAATGGTCCTACTGCGGTCCACCGGTGCCCAAAACCTGATGAAGCCCCTGCTGTCTGGGGTTCACATTCTGGTAGGGGAAAAAACTAGGAAATAATAGTTCAAGGTGCGAAAAGGGGCAGGGTCCATGAAACCCAGAGGGCAGGACAACTCCCTGAGGAAATGACACTTAAGGTTAGGTATGAAGCTGGGAAGGGACTGACTTAGAGAAGGAACAAGGAAAAAGTCTTCCGGAGGAAAGAATCACATCTACAAAGTCCTTGTGACCCAAGGGACTGAAGAAGGAAGCCAGACAGAGGAGAAGGCAGGTGTGGAGGGAGAACAGGATAAGGCAAGGTCTTGAAGACCACCTTTAGACTGCTCTGGCTGCCAAGGAGCAGATGAGGGGGAGTCACAACTTGCAACTTAGCTAATTTATTCTCCGAATGTGTTCTTGACCTGGCCAGAACCATAGCCAGCTCCGTGGGGTGCCCAACCAGTCCAGAACATTCTCTCTACCAAGCAAGTATGGCTGTCTTCCAGGCACTGTGACAAATACTTTATACAAGCATGGACACATTGGAGTAAATCCTGTTATCACTGTCAAATTTTCCAGACAAGAAAAATGCAGCTCGGCACTGTATGGTAACTATTTCTATCTGAACTGGACTCCTTCTTGGAGGAGCCAGGCCTAATGAGTCCCTGTACCCAGAGGAGGGCTAGGGTCATAGTGGGTGCTAAAGGGATACTGTTTGAATGGCAGAGATCCCCAGGGGGATGGGAGTGGGCCAACACTGGGATTCCCAAGATTTGGATTCTGAGACAATGCACTTGGCTCTTCAAGTGGCTCTAATTCACATCACACTCTGGCATGGTCACCTACCAAGGCTCTTAATCTTTCCCAGGAAGAGCAAGGCCAGAATTTCCAAGCTCAACCTCCTCTCCTTTCCTTTTTTTTTTTTTTTTTTTATCAGTACCAGGGATTGAACTCACGACCACGCGCTTGCAAGACAGGTGCTTATGCTGCTGAGCTAAATCCTCAGCCCCAACCTCCTCTCCATTCACTCCACTCTCCTCAACAGCTATTCCAGCCTTCCTACCCACACCAGCCAACCCCACCCCCACTCAAAGATATCTCAGAACTCATCAGACCCAAGAGCTTTGCTGTGGAAAGCTGGGAAGATACTCCCCCATGGTTGAATTTCCAGTGCCAGGGATGGGAAATTTGGGAAATTTGGACAGGACAATTTTTTTTGGAACTCTGGTCCCCTTCCTACCCCTTAACAAGCAAGTATTTTCCTACCTCAAGACATTTGCACATCTATTCCTTCCACTTGGAAGGTCCAGCCACTTCCGCAGGCTAAATGCTACTTTTGTCCCTGAAGTTTTAGCTTAAATATCAATTACCCCTAAAACCTTCACTGACCCCCCATACTACCTCCAACTAAGCCAGATTTCTTGTTACTCGTTCTCACAGCATCCTGCAACTCTGCTTCCCATACTCCCCACATGTAGCTTGTCAGAACTGGAGTTTGCACATCAATCACTTTACGACTGCCCTTGTGCACTTCTGAACCCCAGCTCACAATAGTCCCTGACATGCAGGTGCTCAGTTGATGAGCAATGAATACAGAAGCTCGATTCAAACCTGGTTAACTCACATGTTAATGAAGGAGACAGAGCAAGGGCACCATAATAGTGGCCTGAGAATTCTTCTAAACTAATAAAGCGCTTTGCACAATATGAAGTGTCATTGCAGAATATGGTGTGTATTTTTCCAAGCTATTTTTCTTTTGCTGGGACAAAATACCCAACATCTCAATTGAAGGAGAAAAGGTTTATTTCAGCTTAAAGTTTGTAGAAGTTCAGTCCATAGTCAGCCGGCTCCAAGGCAGGGCAGCCTGGCAGAGGAGCATTGTGGCAGGCAGGCAGGAGACAGTGAAACAGTAAGCAGCAGCGGCAAGGCTGCCTTCCTCTCTACATATATGCTTCATCCAGGAGGCCAGGGTATAGCTCAGCGGCATAAGCACCCACCTGGCAAGTGCAAAAAAAAATCTATATTTCATCCAGGATATAAACCACACCCAGAAATACACTAACTCCAATCAGTGGGCTAATTTAGTACTACACAGCCTTGATCCCTGGATCACACGCTTAATCCACATTCACACACTCATGACCCAGCTACCTCCAAAAAGCCCCACCTATGAGCACATGAGGTTTTGAGGGACATCTAGATACAAACCATAACAGTGTTTAATTTTAAAATTTATAACAGTAAAAGACACATAGCCAATTATCTCCCTTAAAATACTCCCTTCATCTCCCAGACATTTATCTCATTTTTCTTGCCATTTTAAAGCAGTACTAAAAGTCCTCTTTCATGAGTGTCTTTAGATGTGTCATTGTGACTGCCTTGATATCTTTTTTTTTTTTTTTTGTCTTTTGTCTTTTTTTTTATTGGTACCAGGGATCGAACTTACGGCCGCACACTTGCAAGGCAGGCACTTATGCCGCTGAGCTAAATCCCCAGCCCCCTGCCTTGATATCTTGAATCGATTAAAAAAGGCTTACCGGAGCTGGGGATTTAGCTCAGCGGCATAAACGCCTGCCTTGCAAGCAGGCAGTCGTGAATTCGAGTTTGATCTCCGGTACCAATAAAAAGGAAAAAGACAAAAAAAAAAAAAAAAAAAGGTTTACCTTTCTTTGTCATTTTGACTTTGGGGAAGTACCAGAAGTTTCATGGTGCCACGTCCTGTGAACAGGAGGACACACCGCAAAGTTTTTAGGAACCTGCCTCTCTGGTGAATGGGACTCGGAGCAGCATTCACTGTATTTTATCATAACTCATAAAGACATTCATGAAAGGGACTTGCAGAATTGCTTCAGAAAGTGGTGAGAATGATGGGATGAATGTTCAGAATGAGGGGGAATATTTTAGAGGGAATTAATGCCAATGTGTCCTTTACCATAATAAATTTTAAAAATTCAAATATTCACCATGTTTTTAGATCACCTCTAGGAGATTCTAAAATCACATTTTATTATGAAATGAAATGTTAATTCTCACCTCTACCACTTCCTGCACCTTGGCTTTTGGTGATCACCTAGCAAAATCCTTGGCATTACAGCTGGGGTCTCCCCCTACTTGGTTCCAAGCTACCATCCAGATCTTACTGCTTAATCTGCCTCTATCTCCTCCCCGAACCCAGTCCCATGATTCCGAAAAGTTTCAGGGTCTGTTGTCATTATTGTGTGATTTTTTAAAATCCTTCCTTGATAAATATTTTATTTAAAATTTTTTATTTTTAAAATTTTTTATTTTATTTTATTTTTTTCTTTTTTTTAAATTTTATTTTGAAAGTAGTAAAAATGCAACAGCACAAGACAGAACAAAGCCAATGGAGACAATGCAGTGAAACTGGTGCAGCATTTCACCATAGGATACTGGGATAGTAGTAATAGGTACTATGGTATATCTCTTTAACTTCACAATAGTTGTCCAGTCAATTAGGTATAGCAAAATCAAACCAAAAATAGAACATTATAAAACCAATTGAGAATACTGAATAGAGCAAAAGAAACATAACAAAACAAAACAGTGAAAACAACCTTTGCCTTCAAACAGAAGATAGAAGGAAATCCCCCATATTTGCTATACTGCATATGGTCATCCTCCCAGGAGATGCTGAGACATCTATCCCCAGTAGCTATGGGGGGCGGGGGAGTGCTTGATTTTCAGCCCGATTGGGAGTGGGCTCACAGGTAATGGTTTTCTTTCTGGCCCTTGCCGGGGCGCTTATCAAGAGGGCAGGTGAATAAGCTGCCTGAGTCCCACTATGGCTGGATCTTGGGAGCTCTGTTCTCCTCCTGGCCCATGCCGCAGGTGCTTAAAATTTTTTTATTTTAAAGAGAATAAAACAAAACAATAAAATGAGAACAACCTTGGGTTTCAAAAACAAGAGAGTGGGAAATCAACAGTAGGTACTATAGTCCAAATAGTTGCTCAGACTACTAGATACAGGCATGCAAAGTCAAACAATTTAAGAACTGAGTTGTTTCTTTACTTCAGATGCTATCATTTCAGAAATTTCAGGTGTGTCACTTCCAATTTCTTTTGTTCTGTGTCTCCTGGACTTGTTCTGGGTGGGGCTCATGGTGCGGGGACCTCTTCTCTGGGCCTCCCAAGGCTGGCTCACTCTGGGGGTGTGGCTTCCTCTCCAGGCTTGGCAGCTGGATCACCAGGGAGCGTGGCTTCTCCTCTTCAGGGTTGCAGCC